CAATCCTCACCTCTGTATAAGTATGGTTGGCAAGTATTATCAATCCTGCTTACTACATTCAACATATAACCACATGGTTTATGTTCTTGGTAAGTTCCTCTGGGAGCATTGCTTCCAGAGCAACTTAGGGCACCTTCGGTGCCGTAAGTTCCCTTTATTTCAGTATTAGAGTTAGTGGTTAGACATTCAAAGTCACCATAGATTACAAAAGGACAAGGCAATTTAGTATTATGCTTTTCAAATTCTATATAAGTGTCTTTATTTGGCATCTTTGTTTGTTGTCCTTCTGATGCCATACATCCTTTTTCAAGATGGTTCTTAAATGCCTTTTCTGTTGAGAAAGGATTTAAACAATGATGGCAATAATGTTTTTTTACGGTTATCCTTGTTGCTTTGACAGTTTAATAATCTGCTTTTGTTCCTAACCAAGGCGTAGTGATAATTATTGTCTTCATCATAGACCTTTAACAAATCAATCTCATACTTAGCATTTCTATTTTGGTGCCTCTGTGCAATATAATTTTATTCTCATTTAAGCAGTCATCAGGTTCAAAAACATTTATTGAAACTATTTTATTGTTCTCTTCAAATCTATCTATGTCCCTATTACCAGCTGGAAAATTTACACCATCCCAGTTCAAAATATCATCTTTCAGTTTATTATAGTGGAACATTTCCTCTGGGTGATGTTTGCTTATTTTGTCATAGACTACGGATTGAATACAATATTTGAAGCATTTTTGGTCATTTTTAGTTTAATCGTAGTTCTATGTATCTCCCTGCTCTTGTTGGGTCATATTTGTCATAATGAATGGTTATTGATAAAATCTTTTTAAAGCATAGATTAGAGGTTGATGCTTCTAAATTCTGTATTTGTAATAAGATTTGTTTAACACTATCTTCTAATGCTCGTGTCAGTTCATCCTCATTACTAATATTGAAGCGTGTTGATGGTAGAGCATATACAAGTTCCTGACTGCCAATTTCATTACCTCCATCATTGTATTCAGGTTTTTCAAAGAGTGCTTCTTCTGTTCTTATGTTAAGTTTCATGCTTCTATTCTTTCTTAAAAACTTCAATAGTCTTGGTTTTTGGTGAGCAATCATTTCTAATCCCCTTTCACCTTCAAAGTGTTTATTTTCTAACACTGTTGAATTAGCATATCTTCTAAATGCTGACTGAATATCTCTGACCTTAAATTTGTTTTGTATTGCGTGTTTGGTTAGTAAGTTTTTGACTTTTCCTTCACTGAACGCATCTTTTGCCTTGTTTAAAGCATAACTTCTGTATTCATTAGTTTTCTTTACTGTTAATAGTTTCTTTGTGAAAACATTAGATATGGGTTTGTCTTTGTTGTATCTAAATTTCTTGCTGTTTATTACTATTGATTTCAATTCTTTTCTTCCTCTTTTTGGTATTTCTGCCAAATCATTACTCAATAGATAGTCTATAACTTTTTCCATCATATAATATTATATATATTATTTAGTTAATTTATCTTTAAGTAGTTTTTTTTTTAGAATGCCTTATTCAACCTTTGAATATATATTTAAAGAATAGTTAAGTATATTAGTGGGATGGATTGTGCGAAGGATTTGCCCGTTGATGTGCTGAGTAAAATTGCTTCTTATAAAATTGGAGACCCTAAATATTTGAAAATTAAATGTTGCCATATTGAGGCATTAAAGAGAATACAAAACACATATAAGATTTCAAGACTTGGTCCTAAAATAGCAAGACATTTGAAATCAAGAGAAACGATATATATATATAATTGAATACTGTATTATGAGAGAGGGAGTGCCATTTAGTTTAAAAAGTTTAGAAGACATAATAACAGAAGAAAAATAATAATTATTATCTTTAATTTATGAAGAAGTAGAAGATGATTTAAATTCTAGAGTTAAACTTGATATTGAAGTCCAATTAGTGGCGAGAGATATTTTTTATGAATGACTTTGATGAATATGTGGATGAAGATAATGTAGATGAACTATTAGAGAAAGCAGTTGAAGAAATAAAAGCCGACATAGAAGAAGACCAAGATAAAGATAGTACAATAGGAATACAGGCATTTCATTTTAAATTCGTAATTATTGAAGACATTTACTACTAACATATTTCTAATAATATTTATTTATTAGAATTATGGATGATTAAGATAGGATTATTAAAGGGTATGGATTTATATTTATTGTTGTTCTCTGTTTTGATTTTTATATTGTGCTTTGCTTGGTCTGTTTTTTTTTGTTTGTTGTTTGGTTGTTCCGTTTTGGGTGTGGAATGGATGAGGTGATGATGTATTGACTGTTGTGATTTTTAAAAAATAGATGAGGTAATAGATGGTTAGTAGTTATGATTTATGAAAATGAATGAGATGATGATATAGGTGGCAGTGATGATTTTGTGAAAATTGAATGAGGTGATTGATGGTAGGTAGTGATGATTTTGCTGTTGTTTGTTGATTGTTCTGTTTTTGGATTTTGTTATTTTGCTGTTATGGTTTTATGGTATTATTCTTTGAACTGTTGTGATTTTGATAAATGGATGAGGTAACTATACTTTGATTGTTTTGAATTTCATTATACTTTTGATATTGTTGAAAAAATGAAGTAATCAACAATATTAAAAATCTGTGCTTAGACTGTTGGAATTGAAATTAAAACACTTCTATGAACTGTTGTTTTAGACATTTTTCCCCCCTCCCCGGTAGCCCAGCACCCTGTAACGCAGCATCAGGTGTCTGTGCAAGTACGAGGGAAGACCTTTTAACCTAGCACCAAGCCCAAGCGTTTGTGCAAGTGTGCAAGTACAAGAGAAGATCTTATAACCTCAAGTGCCTGTGCAAAAGCAAGAGAAGGTGTATAAATGTAGCACCAAGTGCCTGTGTAAGTGCAAGAGAAGATCTTGTAACCTAACATCAAGTGTCTACGGAAGCAGAAGAGAAGATCTGCATCAACTGTCTGCGCGTGTACAATATGTAACGCAACATCAACTGTCTGTGCATGTACCAGAAAGCATCCTATAACGTAGCACCAAGGGTCTGCGCAAGTACGAGGGAAGTACTTCAACGTAGCATCCAACATCTGTGCAAGCACATACATACATACCTACCTACCTACATACCTACATACCTACATACCTACATACCTACTTACCTACTTATCTACTTACCTCCATACTACATACCTACGTACCAACATACCAACATACCTACATAGATACATACCTACACACCTTCATACCTTAATACCTACATACATGCATACCTTCATACCTACATACCTACATACTTACATACATACTTACTTACTTACATGCGTACATACCTACCTGCATACCTACATTACATACCTGCATACCTACATTACATACCTGCATACCTACATACCTACGTACCTGCATACCTACATACCTACATACCTACATACCTACTTACCTGCAGACCTACATACCGACATACCGTCATACCTACATACCTACTTACATACCTACATACCTTCATACCTACATACCTACATACCTACCTACCTACCTACATACAGACATACATACATACATACATGCAAACTTGCATACACACATTCATTCCTTCCTTCCTTCCTTCCTTCATTCATTCATTCATTCGTTCGTTTGTTCGTTCGTCCGTGCGTGCGTGTGTGCGTGCGTGCGTGCGTGCATGCATGCATTCATTCATTCACTCACTCACTCACTCACTCATTCATTCATTCATTCCTTCATTCATTCATTCATTCATTCATTCATTCATTCATTCATTCATTCATTCATTCATTCATTCATTCATTCATTCATTCAGACACAATACATACATACATACATACATACATACGTACGTACATACGTACATACATGCATACATGCATAGATACATGCATAGATACATGCATAGATACATGCATAGATACATGCATAGATACATGGACTCATACATGGATTCATATAATATATGCATAGACACATACATACATTTATAGATAGACAGATAGATAGATAGATAGATAGATAGATACATAGACACACATACATAGATACATACATACATACATACATACATACATACATACATACATACATGCATTACATACATGCATACATGCATGCATGCATGCATACATACAAACAAGAGACCCCTCCCCACTCGAGGCGGGGAACCATGACCATGACGGGGTGGGGGGGTGGCGGGGTGGGGGTTGCAGGCCTGTACCATTTATTAAATATAACTAATATCTTATTTTTCACATTATTTATTTTGAATATATGGAATATTATATATATATTATATCATGCATATACCGTTTATTATATATATATATCATATATTTTTAAATATCTATATATATAGACAATATATGATATATATTGCATATTAAGAATAATTATACATATGTATATATTGAAAAAATGATTCCTTTTTTATCTTACATTTTATATTTTAAAATATTTATATATTTTATTTAAAAACTATAATATATTTAATATATATATATAATATTTATTTTTTTAAATATTTTTTATATAACATTTATAATATGTATATATATATAACATTTTATATTTAATATTATATATAATGTATTTTATATTTAATATAATAAATATAATGTGTTTTATATTTAATATATAATATATGATATATATGTAATATATATAATATAAAATATATAAAATTTATATAATATATAAAATATATTTAATATCATATATATAGTGTATTTAATATAAAATATTTAATACAATATTTATATATAGATATATTTAATATATACAATATATATTATATATATTTTATAGTATATATAGTGTATATATGCGTATATATATATTATATTATTTATATTTTCTATATTATGTACATTACATTTATCATATTAAAATTATATATATATATATATTAATGGGGTTTATCCCGGTTGAGTGTGCATGTGTCTCGTATTGTGTGGTCATGTTACCATATGTTACTTCTGTTCGCTTGGCGAAGGCTCCACGGCTTCGAGCTGCAGCCTCCCTGCAGCCTCTCGCGCTCAGTGCGAAGCCTCGACTTTTAGCTCTGCCGATGTCTTGGACGAAACGACAAGGCGCACTGCTTGGATCTGCTTGGCACACTGCGGCCATACACAGGTTGCACAGGGTGCAGGCTGCCGGCAGAGCTACAGTCTGGCTACTGCACAGTCTGACCAAACAAAGACTGAGCCCGGATATGTCCAGGGAAATCTTGAAAAGTCTTGTCGGAAAACTAAAGTTGATGAACTGAGCATTGCCATAGATTGAGTATGCTTGAGTATGAGTCAGCTGACATGGTGCGAAGAAACTTTATGACGTCAACCTCCCATTGTGGGCTCTTCTGGCTCAAGAGTCTTCCATGACCGTGGCTGGTGCATGCTACGCTCGTGGTTGGCTCAGAGCTGGAGACGACTTTGCGGAAGGTTCAGCCTCACTGGGTCCAGGTGTTCGAGCCAATGAGCGGTGCACCATAGCATGAAGTCAAGGACGAGGACCTCACTTAGAGAGGACCTGGCAGATTTGTACGATGACTTTGCCATTGGATGGAACGAACTGTTTGATGAGGAGAGCGCTTCTATGTACAAAAAATTGTTGTCAACAGTTTTAACTATGTACTGTCTGGAATCTAAAAAGAACCAGAAACAATGTTCGTTCTACCCTTCATAGAACTGGAACAATGCAGCGAAGTAAGACTATTGTGTAGACATTTATAGACTACTGATTCATGCAACATGTCCATTCAGAGGAGCCAGCATCGACTTCGCGCCCAAGTTCAAGACAGCAGGGCATTGTGCGCAGGCCCGCGCCGCCTCTGGATCCTGTTCCAAAAGGCAGGGTGCGGAAAGCCTTGGTGCCACCGTACCTTCGAATTGGAGGCAAGAGGAGTATGCTTGAGCGCGCCATGAAAGAAAGGTTGCTTGAATGCCCCAAGCCCAGGAGAAAAGAAAGGACCAGAGACAGTCAAAGTTCGCAAGGCTTGCAAGGAGACCTGGAGGAGCGACCAGAGAACACCCTGCAGCCTTTTCCCAGGCTTCGGAAGCCTGCAGAAGTGGTGGAAGTGGAATTGGACCAGCTGCGTGTGCAGCTCCAGAAGGAGATCCGTGAACGTCGCCGCGATGCAAGGCGTCGACGGCAAATGCGTCGTCGCTGCCGTTTGCAGGACACGAGCCTGAGGGACAGGAGGGACAGGAGGGACAGGCAATGGCTTCATATGGCCGCAGATCAAAATGTAAGGCCCCGATCCATACCCTGGACATCGCTGGACACAAACCATCCATAGCCCCGATCCATATCCATGATCCATACATCTCCGAGGGATAGTATCCAGCATTATCCAGAATTACCCTTGCTCCATACCCTTGATCCATACTGATACCCGGTTACCCCAAAATGACAAGGTTTACTTATACCAGGCCACTGTAGTATACCTTCTCAATAGGTCCGGATCAAGCCTCTTATACATCTTGTATTTAACTCACTCGTTCCATACGCTCAGATCACCGCGGAACGATCCATACCATATCCGTTCTTCGAGCCATACCCGTATCTTGCTTGTAGGATCTTGTATGTTTTTCATCTAACATGGCAACTTGTTGAAGTAAATGCAAGTTGCGATGCAAGGTGCCATTTTCCAGAATTTCTGTTTGCCTGACTGCCTACCTTGCATCCAAACTAATCAGGAGGGCGAAGACCTCTCAGAACTAGAGGCACACTGGAAGTTGGAGCGATTGGAGATATTGTCTCCCAGGCCAGGCCAGCGAGTAACGAAATCACGATGGATAAGGGCAAGAACATGTGTCCCACCCAACTGCATACAAATCATACAAACATTTGCGACTTTTTATGGCGACCATTCTTATTTGGACTTATTCACCGTTCGGGTTCAGCAGTGACGAAAAAAATTGCGCTATCTATGTGAAAAGCACCAAAATGTATACCTAAACGATTCAACATGAATCTGTGGATTCGGGCTGGGGAGATTTGAGCACAAGGTCTGATGGTCAAAAGCTAAGCGCTCGCTCCTTCTTCTCACAGCTGGGCCAGAAGAGACTTCAGGATTCAGCTCTGTGCGCCCCGTCTGCTCCTTTAACAGCACGCTGAGCACGCTGAGCTGATGGCAGACTCAACGGATTCAACATAGACCTCTGATCTTTGTCTGCAGAGCTTTCAACACCTCACCTTTAGACCCGTCAGTGCCTGCAACAAAGTTGCCAAGCATTTGGGGCAGATTGAGTGTAACGTTTCACCTGCAGACCATTGGCCGAATGAAGCAGGAAAAGTCGGATATAGATGGATATAGTATGATATAGTAATATAGTCGGATGGCTTGTTCTTGCAGGTAGCATGGTAGACGAGATTTGTGAGTCATGCATATTTATGCGCCTTGTTTGCCGCGCCGGTCTTTGCTGTCAGGTCCGGGCACTATCGCTTACCTGTACGAATTTGATTAAAAAAGGCGATGCTTCTGGAAAGGATTTTTGTCTGAAGATGCGCTTCGTTTTTGGCAGAGTATGAAGCCGACCCCAGCAGGAGTGGCTTGATATGAGTTCCTTTGCGAGAAACTGTGCAACAGCTAGAGGTGAGAGACTTGTGGCCTAGCTGCTCGCCATGGGATCCACTTCCGCGGAATTTTGATCAAGGAAAATTCTGCACGTAATTGACGTAATTAATGAAAAGGATATCTAACGGTAATTAGTAATTAGAGACAACCTCGCCAGACAGGTTCGGGTTTGATCAGTCCGTCGTAGAGATGTTGTAGAGTGTGAACTTGTGTTGGAGTACTTGCTGAATGGTATTCGGCTGAATGGTATTCGGCTGTAGGACAAGAGTAAGCACAGACTTGTGTAACAAATCGCCGCTGTTTTCACACATGGCGCGGCTGGCAGCAGGGAGCCGCATAATAAGTGAACAGGAGTTGGATACGTTGGATGCGCAATACCAATTCTTTAGCTCGTTTGGAAGAATGTCTCCAGAACCATAGCTGCAAACTCAAAGATTTGTGAAAATCCTTAAATTAAAGCTGTTGTTGGCTTCTTACAGATGTGTATAGCACAATGAACAGCAATTTGCGGTACTTGCGAAGGAGCAATCTGGGCTTGCGGAAGGCTGGATTGTTGGATGAGATCATCGTAATTGTACTTATTGCATCTGATCACAAAGCCACTGTAGTCTTGAACAGTCAGTAGGGAATCATTGGCTGGTTTCAAAACAGATCTTAGCACAATTCTTGCAACATTTCCTTGGTGCCGGTCGCGCAATCTAAAATCCAGTTTTGACGATTCTTGAACGTCAATCATTTTCTCGCACTCTTTACCTGGTTCACCAGAAGAGCCACAAGCATTCAACTGAATGGAGAAAACTGAGAAAACCATTGGCAAACGGAGGACTTATGCCATAGACGCAGGTGGATTGACAGAGATTCAGGTTTGCCACAAGCCAGCAGCAAGGTGGTGTGCATGACTCGATCCCCGCAAGCGTGATGCAATGGGCAGTGTTGCTGACAATATTGTACTAGTAGCAACCATTTTTCATGGGTTTCCATTGCAAAGTCCATGTTATTTTCACAGTGCATGATAAAATCATTTGCAAAGGAAGCAGTGCTAGCTGCTAGCCTCATCCTTTCCACCTACAACCTCCTACAACTTGAAAAGGTTTTGCCCAGAAGCCATGGGGGGCCCAACGCCAAAAAACCCGGCAGACTACCAGGACCAGATTTGGGCAAAGGAAGTGCAATGATATATCCGCACCCTCTACATGTCCCCTCTCACTTGCAAGTGCCAAGTCGCAGCATAGTCTTCTCAGACAAGGAAGGCGTGGTGACAACCTACCTCCGCTCATGAATCTTTCTGGATTGTTTAGACTGCTATCAGAATGTTGTGTAAAGTCCCATCCCATGAACCAGGAAGCTGACATGAGAGGTGGGAAAAACATTGTGAGGGATGGAAGTAGAAAGCAAGACTCTTCTTTATTATCCAAACTTCAACCCCAATCCTGCACATTTTGAATGCTTCAAGAATTTGTTTTCCGGTTCAGACGGATCTTTCTCCCAAAGTCCTTGTTCATTCTTGCATTTCGGACGATAAGTTTTTTTTTGTTGTTGTCTCGTTTAGTATTATTTTGTATCACCGTGTTTCATTGCGCAACCTGATAACCTTTTTGTTTACGACTGCGAAGGGGAGTAGAAGCATTGCTCAATATCCCGTTCTTCTTCTCAGGAGCCAGAGAAGCCGAAAAAGGCCTTGAAAGGGGTATGACGGGCATAAATCCAGATTGGCATTCTGAGATGTTCCAATGTGCAAAGGGAGACATGAGCGTGATTTGATTGAGTCAACTAGTTAAAGTTAGTGGGGATGACCACGGACGACCTTTCTGGTCTTGTGTGTTGTCCCTGGATGGTCAGAAAGAAGTGATTTTGCAACCTCGAACATACGTACAATCTTACCATAATAAGTTACCTCCGTTGTCGTTGTTGTTGTCGTTGTCGTCGTTGCTGTTGTGGTTGTGGTTGTTCTGGTTGTTGTGGTTGTTGTGGTTGTTGTGGTTGTTGTGGTTGTTGTGGTTGTTGTTGTTGTTGTTGTTGTTGTTGTTGTCGTTGTCGTTGTCGTTGTTGTTGTTGTTGTTGTTGTTGTCGTTGTCGTTGTCGTTGTCGTTGTCGTTGTCGTTGTCGTTGTTGTTGTTGTTGTTGTTGTTGTTGTGGTTGTGGTTGTGTTTGTGGTTGTTGTGTTTGTGGTTGTTGTGTTTGTTGTGTTTGTTGTTGTTGTTGTTGCTGTTGCTGTGGTTGATAAGTCGTTCGTTGCTGAGTCGTTGTTGAGTCGCTGTGGGGTCGTTGTTGAGTCGTGCTTGAGTCGTCGTTGAGTCGTTGTTGAGTCGTTGTTGAGTCGTTGTTGAGTCCTTGTTGAGTCGTTGTTGAGTCCTTGTTGAGTCGTTGTTGAGTCGTTGTCGAGTTGTTGTTGAGTCGTTGTTGAGTCGTTGTTGAGTCGTTGTTGAGTCGTTGTTGAGTCGTTGTTGAGTCGTTGTTGAGTCGTTCTTGAGTCGTTCTTGAGTCGTTGCTGTTGTTGCTGCTGCTCCTGCTGCTGTTGCTGCTGCTGTTGCTGCTGCTGCTCCTGCTCCTGCTCCTGCTGCTGCTGCTCCTGCTGCTGCTGCTGCTTCTTCTGCTTCTGCTTTTTTGTCCTTGTCCTTGTCGGTTTTCTAGTCCTTGTCCTTGTTGTTGTCATTGTCGTTGTTCTTGTTCTTGTCGTTGTCATTTTTGCTGTTCTTGTCCTTGTCCTTGTCGTTGTCATTGTCGTTGTTCTTGTCCATGTCGTTGTCGTTGCCATTGTCCCTGTTCTTGTCCTTGTCCTTGTCGTTGTTCTTGTCCTTGTCGTTGTCCTTGTCATTGTCGTCGTTCCTGTCCTTGTCCTTGTCGTTGTCCTTGTCATTGCCGTTGTTCTTGTCCTCGTCCTTGTCGTTGTCGTTGTTCTTGTCCTTGTCCTTGTCATTGTCGTTGTTCTAGTCCTTGTCATTGTCCTTGTTGTTGTCCTTGTCATTGTCGTTGTTCTTGTCCTTGTCCTTAACGTTGTCACTGTCCTTGTCGGTGTTCTTGTCCTTGTCCATGTCGCTGTTCTTGTCTTTGTCCTTTTTGTTGTCCTCGTCCTTCTTGTTGTCGTTGTCGTTGTTCTTGTCCTTGTCATTGTCGCTGTCCTTGTCATTGTCGTTGTCGTTGTCGTTGTTCTTGTCCTTGTCCTTGTCCTTGTCATTGTCGTTGTCATTGTCGTTGCTCTTGGCCTTGTCCTTGTCCATGTCGTTGTCCTTGTCGTTGCCGTTTTTCTTGTCCTCGTCCTTGTCGTTGTTCTTGTCGTTGTTCTTGTCATTATCGTTGTCCTTGTCATTGTCGTTTTTGTTGTCCTTGTTCTTGTCCTTGTCCTTGTCATTGTCGTTGTCATTGTCCTTGTCATTGTCGTTGTCATTGTCCTTGTCACTGTCCTTATCATTGTTGTTGTTCTTGTCCTTGTCCTTGTCCTTGTTGTTGTCGTTGTCATTGTCGCTGTTCTTGTCTTTGTCCTTTTTGTTGTTATTGACCTTGTAGTTGTGGTTGTCGTTGTTCTTGTCCTTGTCCTTGTCGTTGTCATTGTGGTTGTTGTGGTTGTTGTGGTGGTTGCTGTGGTGGTTGTGTGGTGGTTGTTGTGGTGGTTGTGGTTGTAGTTGTGGTTGTGTTTGTGGTTGTGTTTGTGGTTGTGAGTCCTTGTTGTTGTGGTGGTTTGTGGTTGTGGTTGTGGTTGTGGTTGTGGTTGTGGTTGTGGTTGTGGTTGTTGTTGTTGTTGTTGTTGTTGTTGTTGTTGTTGTGGTTGTGGTTGTGGTTGTGGTTGTGGTTGTTGTTGTTGTTGTTGATGTTGTTGATGTTGTTGATGTTGTTGATGTTGTTGATGTGGTTGATGTTGTTGGTGTTGTTGTTGTTGTCGTTGTCCTTGTCCTTGTCCTTGTCGTTGTCCTTGTCGTTGTCCTTGTTCTTGTTCTTGTTCTTGTTGTTGTTGTTGCTGTTGCTGTTGCTGTTGCTGTTGTTGTTGTCGTTGTTGTTGTTGTTGATGATTAAGACGATGATGAGGATGACGGTGATGATGATGCTGATGCTGATGCTGATCATGTTGAATTTGATGATGACGACGGTGCTGATGCTGCTGCCGCTGATGCTGATGATGATGATGATGATGATAGGTGATGATGATGACGACGGTGATGATGATGATGATGGTGATGATGATGGTGATGACGACGACGGCGGCGACGACGACGACGATGATGATGATGATGACTGAGGATGTAGTTGTAATTTTAGTTTTGCTATCAGGCTACCAAACGCTACTTGGCACTGGCACTGGGCAGTGTGCTGGCGCTAATCGCAGCTGCTCGGCGAAAAGGACCCAGGCCTCCTGATTCTTGCGTGATGCTTGGTTGGGCATGTCAGAATCTGATCGCACCCTAGCATCACATGAGAGAGTGAGAGTGAGAGAGAGAGAGAGAGAGAGAGAGAATCCTCCCTACCGAGTTACATTAGACACGTATTTGCTTGGCTTTCTGCAAGTTGGTGGAAAGCAAGCTAAACCAAGGCTTACGTCTACAAGCAGGGAGGAAAGGAGGAGCTGTGTGGCCGGGGAAGTACAACGCACTTTCGACACCTGTAGATATTTGCCAGATCAAATCCCGTGCTCGTTCAAAAGACCCGTGGCACGCATCAGCTCGAAGCCCAGGAGCTTCTCAATCTCATTCGGGATGCACTGTTGTCTTTGCAGTCCTTGCGGGACTACGGCCCCTTGGGTTGGGTGCCGTGACAGCACCATGGGAGCAGCCCACTTCAATCTCTTCACATGTGAAGTATTTGGCGACCTTTGATTCTATTGAAATAGAATTGACCGAAGGAAGTTTAGGGAAGTTTAGAAGTCAAACTTCCGACAATATGGACAGAAGAAAAAGCAGAGGTG